GTCTCTGCTCTTTGATTATCGACAAAAAATCAACGCCAGAACTCACGAGTTGATTGTATGGCCCGACAGCTACCAGTCGGCCCTCATTGAGCACCAGTATTTTCGACGCTCTTTCCAAGTGCTGGATCTGATGTGTGACCAAAATTACCGTTTTATTCGCCAAATACTCTGTTATACATCTGTTTGTGTTGTCATAACAAATGGGATCTCATTTATAGTGATTGTTATAATTAGTGTTAATACTTATCAAAGATATGATTAGCGACTTCGGTGTCCACAGAGCTTAACGGCTCGTCCAATAGGTATACGTCGGCGTCGGTATAGAGGGCTCTGAAGACACGAATTGAGAAGTGCTGTTAACACGACTATTGCAATGAATTTGTTACGCGCGACCCCTACGGACTGGTTCACTGGCCGACCCGACCCATACATACCGGGCTAAAGTGATTCGCGCCCTTTGGCCACCGCTGAGCGTCACTCCCCTCTCGCCGACCAGAGTCTTCTCGGCGAACGGCAACCGTCGGAGATCTGTGTCTAGAGCGCAGACACCCATCACCTCACGGAACCTCTTCGGGTCCAAAGGTTGTCCAAATGTAACGTTTTGGGCGATGGATGTGTTGAAAGCCCACGACTCCTGCGCCGCGTACGACACCCGACCCCTCACTCGCCGGTGACCGCCGGTCACCTCTATCTCGTCCAACAGTGACATCAAAAACGATGTCTGAATGTATGGCCAAAAAGAGTGGGTTAGATATGGGGTTGAGATAATTGACTGTTTTAATGGTAACTCATGAGTACTTTGCCAGAGCCAACGGGTCCGACCACTACCAGCAACTCTCCCGGCGCTAACTCTACCGATATGTCCGACAGAGTGGGCACATGTAGTGTCTGTTAAATGACCAGAAAATTATTTTTAACCGACTTTTCTCGAGTTTTATTACCGGATCCCAAGCGGCGGACATGTGTTTAACGCAAACACTAAAGTCTTTATCGTTGTTATTGATATTGTTTTTACCATTGATATCGCCATCGGTAACAGATGGCTGGTCTTGAATCTCCTCTAAGAGCAGGTATTTCTGTACAACACAAGTAAATGTATATTTTTGTTATGAAACAATAGCTGATCCCAAACCTGAATCCTAAGGCACGACACGTACAGCTCTGAGGCCAATACAACCGATTGGGGAAAAGCGTATGTCATTGTGAACTGAAGGGCGTTGAACACAGAAATGGTCACAAACACACTCTCGGCGCCCAAATGGCCCGAAGACAGCACATATACCACAAACATCGTGAATATGATGGCCCGGGGGCTCACGTTTGAGATGCTGTAGTTGAGTGCCTTCAATACAGTCGACTTACGGATTTCGGACATCTCTTTACTGCGAGAGAGAGAGAGAGAGAGAGAGAGAGAGAGAGAGAGAGAGAGAGAGAGAGAGAGAGAGAGAGCTTAAAGATTAGATTATGATGTTATGGGAGATATTGATGGGCCGAACCGTCGGGCCTCTGATACGAGTGCCGTGAAGTGTCGCTCCCAGGCGTACAGTTTGATCACTCGCATGGCGTTGAGTATTTCGTTCATAACACGTATCCGATTGTCTGTAAGTGCGGCCACTTTTGTCCTACAATTTATCCGTCGATTACATTAGTTGTAAATTTTGTTCCCAAAAAGTTTTGATTACAAATGTGTTTGGACCTGATTTTGGCAAAGAGTGCGCCCATAAAGCGTCCGTACGGTATGAACGCCGCGAGTATTGCCAGTCCTATGAGTGAAACCCAACCGATGTGTTGCCAACAGATGTAAACACCAATTACAGTGTTTACGGGACCAGCGATTAGATACGCGTACAGTTGGCTAAACTATTGCCCACACCGGGGAGGGGTTAGACGGGGTCCGGGGGGGTTAGGAATTTATTTATGAGGATATGTTTAGTGCGAGTTTACGGCATTTACGGGACACAGACCTCATCCAAACGGCTCACATCGTTGGACATTAAGTTCAATATCTGTCCGGTAGTTGTCTTACCGAACGCCGAGTGCTTTAGTCTCAGCGCCTAATGTGATGAGAGAGAGAGAGAGAGAGAGAGAGAGAGAGAGAG